GGATAAATCCGACTTTAATTGCCTCGCGAATCAATATGAATCAGAATTACAAGTTCCGTGATATCAAAATCTCTTTAAAAGTAGCTAAATGATTATGCACTTCGATGGTTTCTCCTCCTCATCGATATTTCTTTAAACTTGGAGGAGGGAAAATGGAATAATTGTGTAGAGAAAAATATTAATTGCTGAAACACCTCCGATTAAAGTTTCTGAATGTATTTTGATGTCCAAAATTTTTGTTCGTATCTAAGTCAAGGGTTTGTTCAAATCTTTCGTCCACGTCGTGTTGCCTGTTGGTAAAACCATTGGCTGATGACGTCGCATTGATACATGACTTATATGACAAAATAGTATTATTTCTCAATAATGTAAAAGGAAAATTTAAACTCTAAGTTGGCATAGTTGGTTGAGCCATCAGAGAGGGATTTCTAAATCGGCAACTAGAGGTCACATATTCATATCTTAGCAACGTAGTGTAAATCACATATTCATAATTTATGCACGGCTGGGGAGTTTGATCGGGATTCTTCGCTCTTGCCCTTGGATTATTAGATAAATAAAAAAAATGCGCAAAGAAAAATGCATAAAAGAAAAAAAAAAGAATACGAAAGAACAATAGATAGAATGATTATTCAATTCACCAAATTTACAGTTTCACTAGCTTATGTCGGGAGTGGTGAGATTAAAAAGATGGATTAGGAAGGCAAAAAATTAACATTTTTAATTCACCGTCTTAAAAGGATTTCTATTAACTGTGTGCAAACTGCTATGAGTCATAACCGTTTACATAGGCTAAATGCCCAAACTTCATCGGTTCATGGGACTAGTAAAGTATCCTGTAAACCCCTAGGTAATTGGCCTCTGCGCTCGTACTCTCGCATTATAAGAAAAAGATAGGATGAGCATAATAAAATTGCATCTTCTAGATTTGATCTTCCTCCTTTTTCTTTTTCTTTTTTTCATTTTCTTTTCTCCTTTTTTTCCACCTTTTCCTCTCTCCTCTTCTTCCTCCATTTCGCCATTGCTGACCACCGCCTCCTCCGCCATTGTCATTTGTCATCGCCGCCAACCTATGGAGCCTCTGTCTCAATTGCATGACACCCTTATCATATGTCGCCCATATGTCTCTCTGTGCGCGGGTGCATAGCTAAATTGAATGAGTTGCCTTTACCTATGCTAAAATTGACATCCTGCTTAAGATAGCAAATTCTAACAATGTGGAGCTAACAATCCCATTGAGATTGAAACCTACTTTGGTTATTTGAGGTAGGAGACTATATCACATATGGAGGGAGGGAGGGAGAGGAGCTTACGACGGGCAGCAACGATGAGGCTGGGGTGACAAGTTCACGGTAACAACGAGAGAGCAACAATGACCGCGAGGCGCGACCGAGGCAAGGAGAGAGATTTAGGTTTTCGGGTTTTGTGGTGATTTTACAAAAAAATGTCAATTTAGCGGAGTTGCCCTCGATAGTAACCAGACAAGATTCCAATCCTAGAAAGGAATAAATTCAAAGAGAAATTAAGAAAAGAATTACAGTTGAAAATATAATAAAAAATATTAACAGAATCCTTTATTATTTACGTGAAAAAAATATCATTTGGCGTTCTTCAATGTAAAGAATAGAGTTTCGCTATGTATCTTCTGACGTATAAGTTGATTGATATCTGACCTACTCCAAAGTCCAGAATCCATACACCATTCTTAAAGTTATCTTTAAAATATTTCTAGGGGCGTGATGGCATGATGATTCTAAGAATTTCCAACGTGGCAATTTTTCAATTGGTCACAAATCTCCCAAGAAGATGCCTGACCAGTGAGGGGCCACAAACATTGCTAATTGTGCCTATTTTTGACTTCCTTCATATCACTACTCCCACAAAACTATGTAATGCTTGATTGCATGGTCTAAACGCAATAGCTCTTTCCACACATATTTTTGTCTTTTAGATGGCAACATGAATTTGTTTAAGTAATAAATCAAGAAGGGTCCCTATTTATGTACAGCAAAAGACCACAAAACAAGGAAAAAAAGACCAGCCTTTGGTGCCTATTCTTGCATTTAATTCCCATTGTAAATTAGTCAAAGAATGCAAGCTAAGATGGCTCAGTGAGGCGACACAGCAGCAAATCGAATGCGGATTTTGTAGTGCGAATGCTGAACAGGCGAGTGACGAGGATGGCCCTTCTACTAGGAGCAGATGTTGACACAGTGAGCTGTTCGATAACTATTTTCGAATTTCGGACAGTCTTTATACAAACCAAATTCTTAAATTTGGTCTAAATGTGTCACTTGAAAGGGATCCTAAAAGGCTAGCTCCAGTTGTACTTTTGTTTTATTACAGACACAAAAAAAATTAAAGAAATGGGATCTTAAGTTCTCATTAGTTTCTAGGGTACTTCCTTCGCATGCTCCAATTAAACAGTTGGCACTTGGCAGAGTTCCACGTAGGAAATTAATACAAAGTTTTGACCAGTTTTTTTGGTCCCTCCAAGTGATTAAGGTACTACGATTTCTGTGGGCACCTAATCACTTTACTCATTTTGTGCTCACGCTTGTCCAATGTATGAGGTTATAAGTTGATAATCCTTCCGATTTGGCGGATAATCTATCCGGTTCCCACGATTCCCACATACCCGGATAAACAAAGCAGGATAGGTTCGAGACTAATCCGAGCGATTAATAACGGCTTGATCTTGTTTTAATCAATCAAATGATCTATTAAAAAATTTCCTTTTGCTTTCTTGAAGTGATCACCCCCATTTGACTATAAAGAACACCCCCCTAGTCTTCTAGCTAGTAATAGAAAATTGTGATTATTAACCTTTATCCTGGAGCTCGAGGAGCATGAGGTTAATATTTTATTATATTTGTAGTAACCTATTCAATGACCCACCAGAGAGGCTTTGCGGTCCATTGCTGTCAGTTAGAGAGCAATCCCCATTAGAAAATTGTACCTTTTTTAACCGCATCAACATATTTTTTTTTCTAGAACAAAACATTATTTTTTTAGAAAGGCAAGGGGCAAAAAGATAAACAAAGGAAATTCAACCTTTGTTGGGTGAAGAACATTACTTAAGTCATTTGGTTCTCTTCCAAGGAACAACGTTTGTTTAAGTGATTTTATGGAATTAGAGTTAATATAGAGATGTATGCACCCCTAGCAATGACGGATCCGATGGGGCAGCCGTTGTCCCTTGATGCTCGGTGCAATTTTTAGTAGATACAAAGTATAATTTATAAGGTTTCACGTAAAATTTCTATACATCGTCCTTTTTTGCCCGATTATTACAAAATTTTCCTATGAATAAACCCTATAATCTCTCCCTCTCTCCTTCTGTTCTCTTTTATTTTTATTTTTTGGTTTAGTCCTTACAATTGTGCGTAATGTAGACTCAACTCAAGGCCTCAGATTTGGTGAGAATGTAATGATTTTCTTCCTTCTCATTAAAGAATGCAATCTATTCATCACGGATCTTTCTGTTGAAATTCTGGGCACATGGAACTTTTCTTGATCTTGAGCAGCATGTCCAAGATTTGAACAAGCATCTAATTTCTTATCTCCTTTGGCCTTCCAATTTTCTATTTCAAGCTTCACCTTTTTCGCTCTGAAATCATGTTGTTTATTGCTGTCGGTCAGCAAATCGAATCCACGCTAACTGCACAATCTGAGACAAGTATTCTGACTTATAAGCCTTTGTGTTCATAATGCAACAAAACCATTTTCATCATCTTCTGCACGTTAACCTGTTTATGGACATGTGGAATGCAGCTGAGGTCTGTAGGATATTCAAGATTAAAGATATATCTTTTCTATCTTGACATTGCATTATTAAAGCAATGCATTCCCATGAAAACCCAGTTTTTTTAATGTTCTTGATAATACCAACCACAAAAAACCCTAAAATCCCATAAATCTTGTTAAAGAACCAAGAGGTAATTAATGTGCATGGAAGTGGGGTAGCGATATCTTTCTAGAGTTTCCAGCTTGTCTCCACGTTGTTAGAATGAGAATCTTGATGACATTGTGCAATTACTGGTATCTTTGTCACTGAACAGTACCGCTCTTTATATATATATAGATACACATGCATTAGGCATGTAGAATGTTACGCCTTCTTGCATGTTTTGGGCCTTTGAGGAACTTTAACTTTTTTTGCTTTTACTTTTACAAGCTATGGTTTCACAAATTAAAGATTGAGAAGAGGGACTTGCACAAAGAGTAATCAACAGCCTTTTAACGATAAAAATTTGCAATGCCTATTTTAAGAGGGACGAGATAGAAACGTTTTATATAAATTTTATAGAATGCAACATGTATTTGATAAAAGTAGCACTAAGCAGCAACCAGCCAAGAAGGCGACGGCCACCGCCTCTTTCCCCTCTGCCCACCTCTCTCCAACTTGGTCCGCCACTGGTGAAAGAGGCAAAGGGGGAGGGGAGAAAGAGAGAAAATGAGTTTGGGTCCTTGTCTTGTTAGAAAAATTCATTACGCAGTTTACCCTAATCATAAGGTATTTATATTCTAAACCGTGAGAGTGAATTCAGAGAACGATTAAAAAGAAACATACTTCTATAATTTGACAAAAATGGAAATGGAAATTGACATCATATATAATACTAAGACTAACACCTGCCACACCCACACCCTTTTCAACCACCAAACTGGTTCTGGAAATTGGATCTTAGGGAGATTTTCAGAGAGAAATAAAAACTCAAAAGAAAAGGCTTGAAAAAAAAATGATAGGAGCCAAACATTTGTCACTTGAGATTACAACTATATCTGTGAAAAGGTTGGGAGAGGAAAGAGCTTTGATCATCTTTCCACAGAGAATCAATCATTGATTTTTCTTTTTTCTTTTCTCTTTCTTTTGCTCCATTTTCTGTGTCAAACCCCTTCCCTATATAAGGGATGTCTGACATAGCTTCTCTTCAATCAAACAGTTCTCTTTTCTTCCTCTCCAATCTCTCTCACACACACAGTTGCATCCTGTTCTCAAGACACACCACAAAGCATCACATCGATTAATAAATCTACATCATCATCTCAAGAGCTTATCACGAATGGCTATAGAGATTGAGGCTGCACCATCTGTCCAGCTGTCGAGAGTCGCAGATTCCGAGACACACGGTGAGAACTTGGCGTACTTCGCCGGGTGGAAGGCGTACGATGAAGACCCTTACAACGAGGCGAGCAATCCTTCCGGGGTCATCCAAATGGGATTAGCAGAGAACCAAGTGAGTATACATCAGCACCAAATAGACCATTCATGGTTTTTGAAGTTTGAATTTTTTGATGATGGTAGTATAAGTCACTTGTTATTCATATGGCTAATGATTCTTTCAAACAGGTGTCATTTGACTTGCTTGAAGAGTGCTTGGAGAAGCATTCAGAGGCATCTACTTGGGGCAAAGGAGCTCCTGGGTTTAGAGAGAATGCCTTGTTTCAGGATTACCATGGCCTTCTCACTTTCCGAAAGGTACATACTGAATTCTTTCAAGTCCTAGGAACAGCGAAAAGCGAGGTTCGCTGGGCTGTGAGAATTGGAATTAATCAGCTAACTGATTCTGCATTTTTCTGCAGGCGATAGTGAGTTTCATGGAGGAAATCCGATGCGGGGGGGCAAAATTCGACCCCGAACGAGTAGTCTTAACTGCTGGCGCCACTGCAGCTAATGAGCTATTGACCTTCATTTTAGCCGACCCTGGCGATGCTTTGCTGGTCCCCACTCCTTATTATCCTGGGTAAGAATGGGTTCTTCCTGACTCACCAAAACATTCTAAGGCCAAAGTGGGTTAAGTCAATGACTCACATTAGTGTTCACTCCAACCTTCTGCTAACGGGACCCTCTTATTTGGGAATTCTTTTTCCCAGATTTGACAGAGACTTAAGGTGGAGGACTGGCGTGAAGATTGTGCCCATAGTCTGCGACAGTTCGAACAATTTCCAGATCACTACTGAAGCTCTAGAAGCAGCCTACGAGCTCGCAGAATCAATGAACATCAGAGTGAGAGGAGTCTTGATCACCAACCCGTCAAACCCTTTGGGCGTGACCATCAGCCGGTCGGTCCTGGAGGACATCCTCGACTTTGCAACGAGGAAAAACATCCACCTTGTCTCTGATGAAATCTACTCGGGGTCCGTCTTCTCGTCCTCCGAGTTCGTGAGCGTTGCTGAGGTCCTCGAGGCGCGTGAGTACAGGGCCTCCGAGCGGGTCCACATTGTGTACAGTCTCTCTAAGGACCTCGGCCTCCCGGGTTTTCGGGTTGGCACGATTTACTCGTACAATGACAAGGTCGTGACCACGGCGAGACGGATGTCCAGCTTCACACTGATCTCTTCTCAAACGCAACACCTCCTCGCCTGCATGCTGTCTGACAAGAAGTTTGCGAAGAACTACATCGAGATCAACCGCACCAGGCTGAGGAAGCGGTACGAGAGGATCATCGATGGACTGAGGAGCGCCGGGATTGAGTGCCTAAAAGGCAATGCTGGGCTGTTTTGCTGGATGAACTTGAGCCCTCTTCTTGAGAAGCCCACAAGAGAAAGTGAATTGGATCTTTGGAGGACCATGCTTCAAGAAGTGAAGCTCAACATATCTCCAGGATCATCATGCCACTGCTCAGAGCCAGGTTGGTTTAGGGTGTGCTTTGCTAACATGAGTGAGCACACACTAGAAGTCGCACTTGAGAGGATACACAAGTACATGGAACAAAGAAGAACTTGACACACACACACACACACACACACACACACACTCTCTCTCTCTCTCTCTCTCTCTCTCTCTTCCTGTCACACACACACACCTCTCCCTGTCACACACACACACCTAGAGAAAATTTGATTTTATTCTCTTCAAAATTAGTGATCATTCTTTATGCAAGTGAAGAAAAATAAAGGGTCGAAATATAAATACCGTACTGTGTCGAATTTTTTGTCGGGGAACCAAACCCGTGTCATGTGTAACTCCAATTGTTGTTGTTCTTCACACACCGTGTATACATCAGTTGCCCGACTCAAAGATTGTGCAACAATTTTTTTTGTTTTCTTGCTTTGCATCCAAAGCAAGTTCTTATACAATAACATCTGTAACCCAATCTGGAATCAAATTAGTGCTGTTTGGACGTCCTCTTCATGTGTTGTCACCTAATCTTGCCGTTCTCGGATTTGTTACGCATTTGACTAGATTAATTATCACGTCCTGTCTCTGATCTAAACTTTCCACTTTGTGGTTTCACATCTCCTGAAGTAGAAGGCCATAACCAGCTCAAAAAAAAAAAAAAAGAAGCTAAAGATGCTCATTTGCATTTTGCAAATATTCTACTTGTGGGAGGACATGGGTCGCTCATAGGGCAAGGTAGAACAATTAAATAAATGTTGAGACAACATTGTGCGTCTTTCCAAAGTGTAAATAGGACATTGATTGCATTGACTTTCGAGAGCAATGGTATCTTTTTAAAAGAACTTTTCCTTGTTTTGTGCCCTTTTAATGCCGAAAAACTCCAAGTATCATCATAGAATGGAGTGACTTAATACGCAACCGCAAGGTTCTCGTCTTACTTGTGGTTTAATGAAGAGAAGGTGCAGACCGGCAATAATCTCCTATTTTTTGTTCGCGTCGCTAAAATATTAGGAGGATGACCATCAATATAAAGAACAGTATTGGAAGCAAAAATGTTAACTAAACTGCAGAAAAAACTATGCATAAAATTAACACAACCATACATACAGCTGAGCTCTTGATTTCTTCCGTTTTGGAACTTGTTTACGTCTTCCTTTATCTACTCACGTACCAATTTCCTAATTTTGACATATATATGAAACCATTCTTTTTTCTTTTCGTACGATGTTGTTGTGTCTCCACGCCTCTATGAGCACCAACTCATTTCGTCGGGTCACACGCCACACTGATGTTGGTGTTAAGTTCTTGAAAGGGAGAGCATCATCGTAAATGGATGGACTCTCTTGACAACATTGAGACATGATAGAACATTACAGAAGACCAAAATGCAGGGTTGATTGTTACAGGAGGAATTATATCAGAAACAGCTAAGGACAAGACCAAAAACGTATGCTTCTGTCCTAGTTAGGTTTGCTAGATGAAGAATATCCAAAACCCTTTTTGACATTTGAGCAATATGTCCCCGTCGTGTCTTTGTCATGTTCAAGAACACGCACAGGCCTTGACAGGGACAAGTTTTTATCGAACAAATTGTGTTTTGCTTTCTTGGGGTCTGGCATCACCATATCATAACACTTTGGCTCCCAAAGAATGTTACATGACTTTGGATAAATTACTTCACTGGGACGTCCTTGAATCAGATTAAAAAATTCTCCAAAATTAAACTAGTATTAATCCCAGTTGACTTGGCAATTGTTTATCTTACGAACAGGTAAAGAATACATATATTTCTACATAGTATATGCTTTAATCCTACACATACAAGAAAATACATTCATACATACATATATTTCTACATAGTATATGTATATATAATATACTAGGATCATTTTTTTCTTTAATAAATCTCATATTAAATAACTTATATGGATTGACCAAAAAAAAAACTTTTATGGAGGTTCAACAACTTGCCATACTTGAAAGGTTGAACCCCTTCAAAACCCCTTTGTTCCGTGATCAGAATTAAAGCAATTCGGATTAAGTTGATATTTGTTGGTCTAAACATAGTTTATTATGTCAAAACGTCACCACTGATCACTTGAGAAGGAGTAGAATTATACGGTTATTGACTTTAGAGCAGTTTAATTAGTGACAAGTATCGGTTGACTTTTGGCCTAAACAACCCTTTTCTCTAAGATGTCAACTAAATCCCAAACTAACAAAGCATTTATTGGAATTTTTAATGCAAAAGAAGAGCTTCAGCTTGTCTCATCTTCCGAACAATCATTTCAATAACCATTTGAAATTCCTCTCTCGTTAGGCATGCCTGAGTTTGCAGGGCACAGTGGTCAACCCCTCTTGGTTTTTGTCTGGTTCTTGATGGGTAAATTCCGAAATCGCAAGGTTCTGTTGGGGTTGAATACCTTGAGAAGGTCAAGCACACCGTCTTTCTCACCACAAGCGCCCAGTCTCATATTTTTATGTCTGAAAATTTAAGAATTTCACCCACTGAGGCCATCTTACATCTGTATGCAAACAAGCTTTACATCAGCTTAGTGAGACATTAAAGAATATAACCATATCATAGTCCATTGTCGTGAGAGTTAACTCTAAGCACATTTTATAGAAAGGGGTTGACTCAAGTGCTAGAGATCATCCACCCATTCGAAGTTCAAGCCCACGCGTGCAACCTATTTACCTTACAGCATCTTCTGGGTTGTGGATGAATTGTATGCTTTTGACTTGTCCAAGCTGGTGGATCAGTAAAAACTGTGTGTAAGCTGATTTGAGAACAAAAGGAATCACATAAATTGGCCGAGTGAGTACGAATCGTAGAAGAAACGACTTCTTTGATTGTTCATTCAGTTGACAACCCTTTAGTGTGGTCCAATCCGTGTAGGATATCTATCAACACTTATCATCTTCATCATGTCTCCTTAATTTCCAAAAAGTCTGTGGCACGCGTCATCATCTTAAGCATGCATGAACGATATGAACTGGGACACACTCAAGGGACAGAAGATCCCAAGCGATTAGATCGAGGGTCACGAAGCTCTCTTAATCAACATTACTTTTCATGTATGAGCAACTTTTTGCATGTGAAACGCGACGCAATCACACGTTAGTATCTGATATTATTAATTTTTTTGCAAGATGAATTTGAACTTTCATAATATGAAATCTCGATACCTCGTTGAACGACAGTTTGCGACTGTCCTGATTTTGCGAGCTACTTAAAGAAAGGGAAACACCAAACCGGGATCGTTTTGTTTTCTTACTAGACATATCAAGCCATATGTTGACTTAACATGAAGAGAGAGGACACCCAGATGGCTCCTCACGTGTGTGAACGTAGTTGCTAAGATCGTGATAAAGTTGTTCCCGTGTAAGAGCTTCCCGTTGAAGATTCCCAATGCACCCGAAATAGAGTATTTAATGTTGTAATGTTGCACCAGACCGCCTGCTTGGGAAAAGTGTAAGAAAGTCCTAAACCTTTTGCATTGATATCAATTGAGTCCTAAATCTTTTTTTGATGTCAATTGAGTCATAAACCTTTTGTCTTTATATCAATTCAGTCCTTCCGGCTAATTTTGATCGAATTTTACTGACATGGACGCCGGGCGGCTATCGGTGCTGACGCGGATAATTTTTAATAATATTTTAATAATTTATTGCATTTTTTTATATTTATATTTCTTTTCTTTTCTTTTTCTTTTTTTTTTCCTCCCCTCCCTATTCCTCCAGCTGGTCGCCGGTCCGACGACCGGCCAAAGGCCAAAGGTCGGCGAGGTCGACCTCGTCGGCCCTAGGTAGCCACGCCGACCACGAGCAAGGCTCACCCTTGCCGGATGGCCGCGAGGGCAGCTTCCCGCTGGGCTGGCGAAGTTCACTCGTGGTCGAATCCGGCGAGCATCAAGCCTCGCTGGCCATGGGTGAGGCCCGACCTCACCAAATCCTGCGAGGTCGTGCCTCGCCCGGCCCTCACCAAAGGCCGCGAGGGCGAAGGCCTCGCGAGGGCTAGGTGAGCCTTGCCATGGCCGGGCAAGGCTCGACCTCACCGACCTTTGGCCTCTGGCTGGTCACCGGTCTGGCGACCAGTTGGAGGTGGAGGGAGGGGAGGAAAAAAAAAAGAAAAAGAAAAGAAAAAAATTCAAAAAAATATTAAAATATTATTAAAAGTTATCCACGTCAGCGTTGGTAGCCGACCGGCATTCACGTTAGCAAAATCCGGCCAAAATTAGCCAGAATGACTGAATTGACACAAAAACAAAAGGTTTAGAACTCAATTGGCACCAAAAAAAGGTTTAGGACTTAATTGGCACAAATGCAAAAAGTTTAGGACTTTTTCAACACTTTTCCCCCGCTTGGTTATGTCCTAGTCAAAAAGTCAACCTCTCCTCCCTATCTCTCAATCAAAGCCAGTCAAGTTGCTCCACGCGGCCGTTGACGACAGGTCCTAGCCGCCACATAAGCAATTTCATGATTCTTAAATAAGGGCCATCCCGAGATAGCCAACCACTTGATTTGGAATCTAGTCATCAAGCACTTATGAGCAGGTGTGCATGCGCATCATATAGAATTGAAGCTTTGATGATGACTCTATCTCTCTGTATAGGGTTTTTTTTGCCCTCTTGATCAACGTATAGATCAAGATATAACAGGAACAGAACTCATATTGAATTCAGCCGTGAGAAAGTTCGATGAACTTTTTCTTTGTTGAAACTATTCTAGATAGTAATGTGCTGGACAAGATATAACAGGAACAGAACTTCATATTGAATTCAGCTTCTACCGTATCATATGAGATCTAATAATATCATTTTTACTTTGCTCTACCATCTTGTCCTTTAGCGAAGCATCGCAGACTTCTGAAAAAGTATGATTTGTTTCCCATTAGAACTAACTCGATTTTGTTCGTTATATTGAGAATATTGTATCAATTAAGGTCGCAACTTTGACTGAATCGGTTCGTTATTTTGCATTACAACTAACACGATTACGTGGTCATATTGAGAATATTGCATCAAACCATAGTTCGAATCTTTATCCGGAGTGTCTAGCTAACACAATATATCCACAACTAACAAGATATATCAAGATTCGAA